GTATTCTCTTGTCTCTTGAAGACTGTCTCTCTTGCTCTGGGCTCCTTAGTTGCCTATAATCCTTTGACTAGAGCTGAGGCCTGGTAAACTCTTCTCCTTCCATGTTAGCCTGTCTTCTGTTTTCATTCTTGTTTGGCTCATGTTTCAAGAGCCTTGTTAGGTAGATTTGATGGACACATCTTCTCTAATATGTATAGGAGACATAATCTCAGAGAAGATTCACTCTTCTTAAGCTGTACACACTCTTTCTACTCTCTCTTCTACAACAATGCCTAAGCCTATGAGGCAGGAGATGCATTGTAGATGCATCAGTTGAGGCTTGGGCTTAACAACTCTGCATTTTACCTGCTGTGGTTTTCTGTAATGGTCCCCAAATTTTGCAGACAAGTTTCCTTGATCAGTGGTGATAACAACAATTACTTGGAAGTATGAAGATGAAGAGTTGGAGTGTAGTTAGAGATCATGCTAGTTAGTGGCAGTTAAATGTTTTCCTCCAAGATCTATGATGTAAGAAACACGGGGTAGTTGACTAGGTTTCCAGCACCAGGCAGGATTTCCTTCTGTTGAGAAGGCTTTAAATGAAAGGGTGAGTTCATAGCATCTCCTAATATAAGTATTCCTAACTTGGAATCCAATATCTTTTACAGAAACCTGAGAATGCATCTTTCAACAATAAGACTGAAAGAATTTGAGACAGCCTGGCTTCCAGGGACTCAAGTGTTTTCCCTATTCATTAACCAGAACTACAATTTATGCAGCTGTGGAGGTGAAACTCATAGGCCCTCCCTGTATGAAGCTCCCTTGTATTAATTTTCAACATCATTAGTCTATTTAAACTAACTTTATAATTATTATCAATTAGACAGTGTGTGTTAAGATGAAATTATTTTAACAATAATGCACAGGTAAAAATGTCCAAAGAATGGGATGTTTCCACATGAGAACACACTGTATTACAGGCAGTGGGGATCTCCCCAGACCTATTCACATCATGCCAGGTACCAGAGAAAGATAGCAGCAGCAAAAATGAAACAGAACAGCAAAGGCAAAAGACTTTCTGGAGTCTGTGGACTCTAGGTTTTTCCTATCAGATATTCAGTCCCCCATGTATTCACCTCTTGGTGACCTAACTCCTGGACTTCAGTTGCCACAGTCTGCTCCTCTCACAGGGCCACCTGCAGACACAGAAGTCAAATGCTGAGCTCTGCCTTGAAGTTCAGCTTCTCAGTCACTCCCCATTTCTAAAGACAAATAGGTAATCATGCAGCAAAGGAAAACTGAATTAGACAATGACACAAGAAATACATACACTGTCTGGAAAAGACTTTTGCATGTGATTAGCTGAACACTGGAATTCAGGCATGTCACATTTCCTCCATACAGAAAGGGAGTTTCCAAACTCAGGAAGCAGCTTTACTCAAAGCTAAAGCTATGTAAGGAGTTTTGTTTTCACCAGGGATGAGGTCAACACAGTAGTGCTGACTTTGTAAAAAATGAGCACTGCAAAGCAATGTCACTGCTCTCCTAATCACAGATGTGGAGAAGGGAGTTGAAATGAACATGAAAATGAGTCTTTATAGAAAAAGGGATAATAGGAGATGATTTGAAAATGATGTAATTTAATAACATTTTCGCAACATTAACATTATGATCTGATCCCTCCAGA